TTGTTAAACATACTATTTATCTTAGTGATTCGAGCATGTCGACATGGCTAAATCATATTCATAGAATTTCAATTAGTTCATCTCCTGAGGCTAACTAATTAGTTCTTGACAAAACTGATGGAAAGGCTCAGCCGTTTGGAAGTTTCCAGACCTTAAAGTATGAAGGCACGGCATGCTGGGAAATTACCAGAGGTCAGATAGGTCTCATATTAATAGACTGTGTGCAGAGTGCAATAAAACCAGAATTATTTGAGTGGAGCAGAATTTAGCTGTGCAAAATTGAGAACGGTGACGAATGTTGTTTGGCTGGTTGAACGTGACACTGGGAACACTGAGCTGTACGGTAGCATAGTCAGAGACACTCAAATACTTACCTCCTGCTCGTGCTCGATTCTCATGCTGGGGTTTGCGTTCACTTCAAGGAGTATAGGCTTCAGATTTTTCATTAGAAGAATGTCAAAGCCTAAAATCTGGACAGGATAAACACAATTCAGAATTACGCCCTCTAGCTGCAGTTTCTATTCAGGAATTGAGTCTGTTGTTTAGGGTCGTTAAGGTGAAAATAAATCCCAACTCAGCCCCCGACCTTGGCCCTGACTATGGCTTCTCTTGTCCGCAGCCCCTGGGGTGGTTGTCAGACCAAATGGACAGCAAGGAATTTTATAGGAACCCTGACAATGAAATGAGTAGCTGCAGTGCATTTCAGCGCCGTCCGGGGCGTCTGAGGTGCTATGAGAGGCTGACCTCTTCTTTAACAGATTGCTTACTATGCTGAGGACGAGTAGCGGTCCATCAACTCCGCCTGCCTTTTCTTCTGCTCCACTCTATTACATTGCTTCTTAGCTAGATCTCTGAAATCTAAGGCTGCCTTTCTTGACCTAGGGTATACACTGGATGCCACGGCACCCCCCAACCCACACACACCAAATCAGAACCTCTCAGAGTGGAACCCAGATATATATATTTCTGAAGGCAGTTATGCCACTATACCACCAATGCCAAAAATATTTTGACAAAAACCCTCAAGGTGATTCTGACACACCCTCTTAGTTAAGGAGAAGGGAATATTGATTAGTCAGCTACTAGGCATCAGTGACTACACCATGCACTATTACTCTTGATGTCCTTCAATCTTCATGATGGTGTACTTGAGGAGGGAGTATGCTCTCCATTTTATAGAAGGAGAAAC